ACAGAATCAACTACTGTATAGCATGACATTAGAACATGCTCCTGTGTTTACAACATACATTGTGCCTTTTTATTCACTGTGATACTGTCCATTTTTAATTGTCTTCTTTTAATATTTTTTTGTTTTTACTTTGATACCTTTTTTAAGGCGACCGTGAGTGCCCAGAAAGGCGACATATATTTACAATGTATTAGTATTATTATTCTCTAGGCGCAGCCAGGGGCCGGAGGGGGTCCGGTTCGGGAACCACAGGATTTCATCTCTACTTTTTGCGGATGATGTCGTCCTGCTGGCTCCAACGAACCTGTTCAGGATGCCTCCTGGACGCCTTCCTGGCGAGGTGTTCCGGGCACGTCCCACCGGGAGGAGGCCCCGGGGAAGACCCAGGACACGCTGGAGAGACTATGTCTCTCAGCTGGCCTGGGAACGCCTAGGGGTCCCCCCGGACGAGCTGGAGGTGGTGTGTGTGGATAGGGAAGTCTGGGCGTCTCTGCTTAGACTGCTGCCCCCGCGACCCGGCAACGGATAAAGCGGAAGAAAATGGATGGATGGATGGATAGTATTATTATCTTTGCTGTATAGTTCTCATCTATGATACCTGAAAATCATTTTATTTAGAAAAATATAAATCTTAATACAAATCTGAATCGTCTTCTTTGCTGAAAATAGTGGCGCTGGATGAATACTCAGCTGGGAACCTGGAAAACCATCAGAATTGAACTGAAGCACATTTTTGAGGAGGTTCAAGGCAGATTATTTGAAATATTTGTTTCTGCCCTTTCTGTTGGTTTAGACCAGGGCTATTCAGCGTGTTTCTTCACAAAGGCCACAGACGTGTACAACTCATCCCCACTTTGACAGAAAACATATCAAACACAAAATCTACTTCAGTTACAAATAATCTTTTAGTGGAAAACTGAAAGAAATACTTCTGTGCTTGAAAATGTTTTGCTCGCCCATGGCATTTTGTGTTTTTAAAATATGTACTTAAACAAAGAGAAACTAAAAATAATTGATTACAGAATTTACTGCCTACACCACTAGCTGGACTATAAAGTGCACCTGTAAATAAACCATACCAGCTGAATTTGAAAAGTACACATTGTCCACATAAAAGCCGCACAATAAGCTTGACTTCTTCCCACTCCTTTTTGAGCTTTACCAGGAGTGAAAAAAGGAAACCCTTCGATGTATGTAGGTTTCTATCTATAGTATGTATTATACGTAATTTATGTTAATTCTATAATCGATTCTTGTTCATAAATTTGAAATGAATCCAATCAATCACTTTTCATGTTATTGTAATGTAACACTGTTTTATTATAACGCACTGTTGACTTGCTGTAATCAAGGAATACGAGGCAAACATTTACCGAGATATTTTGACAATAAACGAGTGTCCTAGAGCTACTAAAACTTGGAGTCAAATTAGTGAGTTCATAAACTCAGCCCAACTCTAACACCATACAAAATCATAGGGTTTATAGACATTTTAAAACGTAGCCGCTTATAGTCTGAAAATTACAGTAATATTTGATTCAATTCTTGCAGCAAAAATGAGCTCATACACTACTAATAATATCAAATTTATATACTGCATTCTAGAGATAAAGCATTTCCCAAGAACACATTGAACATTAAGTGGACAAATAGAAAAACAGAACAATTATATGCTTAAAAGCTCTTAAAAAAGTATTAAGTCTCATTTTAAATTTAATCAATACAGCTTCATAGCACTTTGCTGGTTCATTTCAAAAGCCACTTTAGCGTCACTATGAAAACATTGACTCCGCAACGCCGGTGATTGGTTAAACAATTGTGTCCATGGCAGTCGCTTTTTCATGTCTCGCATCCTATTGAACCATCTCGCTTTTCTACAATAAAAAAACACATTATATAAGGTGTCTGTGGAGTGTTTTAGGCATAATGGGACATGGGACACTCGGGTGACACTAACCGGAGAGCTGCCTTGGTCCATGCATCCACTCTACGCTCAAAGCATCCTTGAACGTCATGAAAGGAGCCATTATTTTCATTACTTCACGTTTCTAGTGATGCCTAAAGGGGGCTAACAGAGATTATATAGGCGCCCTGCGTTTTGTGTTGTTTGATTGTTTGTGAATATAGATCTTACATCTGTTAGGGAATATGTAACACAGCCAGTGCCGGGTCTAGCTTTTCAGGGGGGCTTTAGCAAAACGGCGTCGTAAATACATTTTGTAAAGATACACATGGTGAGGGCTGTATAGATATTGCTTATGTATTTGTGTATAAGTCTATGCTTGTGTATGTTATATGTATTAGGATGAATGTTACTATTTCTACTCGAATGAATGAATAAATTAGAGAAATGAGAATGAATTTCAAGGGACCAACGCATCTGCAATTCACTCAATCATGAGGCTAACATTAAATCTCAAATAAGAATCCCTGGTGACATTGGATGGGCTCAATAGATTTTTTAAGAATATGAATCTCTTTTGGACTGTTTTGCTAAATAAAGGGTAAATGTGTGGCGTCATCTGTATGTGAAAGCCAGATCCCAGCAGACCTCGTAAGCTAAGTAGGACGGGGTCTGGTTAGTACTGTGATGGGAGAGCTCTTGCAACACTAGGCGCCAGAGTGGGTGTAAAGTGCCAAACTGTTGTTGTGTCCTTAGGCAAGACACTTCACGTACATTGCCTAGTATGAGTCTAGTGTGTGTGTGAATAGTTGCTGGTGGTTGGAGGGGGGAATATTCTGGTCGCCTTTCAGTATGTCCCAGGGCAGCTGTGGCTACTGTAGTAGTGAATGAATATTGCCATGAGAATTGTCTTTGAATGTCCAGAAAAGAGCTATATAACACTAGTCCATTATTTTTATTATTTTTATTATGACTATTAGTATTAGCATTATTAAATTACAAGAAAGAAATAAACTGGTTGAGGTCTACATGCTTTTAGATTTTAGTTTTCAATTTCTATAGTAATGCATTATAACATATTTCATAACTTGTTGGGAGTTTTGATAAGATAAGATAAGAGTTCCTTTATTCTTCCCACAGTGGGGACATTCGATGTTGCAGCGCACAGACAGGACAGTAGTAAGAGCACACAGGGAGCACACAAAATATACAAAATAAGTTGTAGCTATGTTTCTTAACTAGCATAACTGGCTGTAGATGCTGGAAATGCTTCAATACCAGTCAAAAAAATATATACATGTAGTAGTGCAGAGTTATGTACTGTACATATAGTGCAGGATAATAAGTAGATAATTAAAGTGACATTGTTCAGTGACATTCTGAAGGAGCAGTATTGCACATTGCACATGATTTAAGAATTTACTTATTTACAGATGAATGAAATTTACAGGCTCAGCAGTTCTTATTGTACAGTCTGACAGCAGCAGGAAGGAAAGACCTTGGGGGGGCTTCTTCTGACCTTGGGCTTCAATGCAGGTGCTCTGTCCGCTTATTGGGACAGGACCGGCCCTGTACACAGCAACAGTAAACATAGAGACAAATCAAAAAGTATTTTCTGTGAATGAAATGGTTTATGACCCATGGTCTTGTTAAATCTCAATGTTGATTCACCTGCCAGCATTGTACCATGAGGATTTACCCTAATGGCCAATTATCTGTGCCTGCCGTTGCCACTTAAACAAACATTCGGAGACCCTCTGTAACATGACTGGTGACAATGCTCTTCCTGTATTCCAAAATAATCCCCCATGCATCATTTGGCTGCAAAGTTTTCCTCCACTTTGAAGAGAGTCATTTGTTTTCAAAAGGACAGCATCTAGCCCCTTGGAGGCACATTTATCTGCCAGCGTTCTTTCACCGCTGTTTTGTTGTATTTGAGTGTAATTATTTCAGGCTTCCTCCTCCTCCTCCTCTTCCTTCTCCTCCTCCTCCTCCTCCTTGCACCGTCATGATATTAGTCAGTTATGATGAGATCTGATAACAAATGAGCAGCTATTATTATCTGCTCTGGCAGAAGTCATGCGGCTTTCTGTACTTCTTTGCCTTAATAGCTGTCTTTGGTGGGTTTGTACACTAAGACGTGATGACAGGAGGAGCAGGCCAGGAGTCTCATTATCTGACCTGGTCCTGGATCAGTTTGGCTTCTCTTATTGCTCATACTGTATATGGGCAGTTTCTAGTGGTAGCTTAAGTCCTATATGACTCAAGCCCGTCTATCTATACTGGTTTTAGATTTAATTCTAAGCAGCCTCATTATATGGTGGCATCTTAAGAGCAAAAGTTATGTTTTTGTTTGCTTCCATATTTATCTTTCTAGCCAAGACTGCTCCTTTACATAGAGTTAAAAAAAATGTTTTATTTTCAGAAACAAACATGAACACAAATGGAAACAAACACACACAGGTCTAGCACATGAAAATCTGTAATAAACTAAAAAGTAAAAATATCAAAATGGACTATAGTCTGGTCATGATAGTCCTTTCTTATGTACAGTTTGTAATTACAAACTGCCGGCGAGATTTTTTGCATTACCTGTGTTTTTGTAGTTCAAAAATGATTAAGAAAAGCAATAGCATCTCCATGCAAGCTGTCCACCTAAATTATGTCTTTGAAATGAAGCGCTCCTTTGTCTTCATTTTGGTGAATTCATTGGATGCTCAGAATGTGTAAAACGTGTGCTAACTTTATGATACACTTGTTTAGTGTATTTCACAGTTAAAATTACCTTCTTTATTTGACTGCTTTAAAAATTACTGGATTATTTGATTTGCCAATGCAGGAGGGTCAAAGGACAGTGGTGATCTGGGACATTTATGGACATTTATGGACAGTTTTGCACATTTATGGACATTGGTCTTTCCACTCCTAATGGACCAATGGCTCCTATGTGTTTGTTAGTAGTGTGTTTCCTGTGTTTGAACAGTTGGAAAACTTTGTAAAGTCCTCCAAGACGACTGCTGTTGTGATTTGAATTGAATTGAAATCCTCTGCTCTCCTCCCCTCACTCTGAAACAATCCGTTTCCCTCCTCCTTGCAGATAACTTCTACGGGACGCCCAAACCTCCAGCGGAGCCTTCCCCCGCGGCCCCTCCCCTGAATGTGAGTGAGGCCCTGTTACCCGGTGCCCGGCCCAGTGCCCAGGGCAAGAGGAAGAGAAACCAGTCCGTCAGCAACATGGAGCAGCGCGCCAGCCTGGAGCCGCCCGAGGAGGAGGAGGAGGAGAGCCCGGTGGTCAACGGCAACGGGGTGGCCATCACTCCAGGTACAAAACCCACTTTAATTGTGTTTGAACTGTATTATATTCACTTCATCATACATTTATTGATTTATTTGAATGGGACGGTGCACATTTAAAGTCCATGAAAATATGCCATGTAATTTAGCCAGAAGCCGGTCCCATGGCAGGATATTGTATTGTATTATATTAAAAAGCAGAGAACTTTGCTCATCAGACTTTGTGACATGAGTGCAGACCCTGCACACAGCTAAGCCAAACTTTGAAAAGGAAAGAACTCTCGCACACTGTATGCTATATTTACAGATGGGCAATGTTTGGGCTGTGGGCCTTTGAGAAGCAAATGTTTTATTTTTCATTATAGAAGCCGTCTTAAATAGGGTGGGGGTGGCAGCGTCACTCAAAAAGTGTACATTCAGACAATTTACAATTCAAATCCGTGTCAGGCCATAACAATAGGAAAGAAATTAAAGAGACATTGTTATGTAAATATTTATTATGTATTTGACTTTATTATAAGTTCATGTTACAGCCATAAACATAGAAATATTAACAGTTATTAAAAGCCATAGACACAAAAGGCAGAGTTTAGTAAAAACAGCAGAAAACATAACATAAGAACATTACAGTACTTCCCTTTACAAACATAAGAATATAACATAGACATGATCAACATTATAGTCCACACTGTGACTTCAGCTTTGTGAAGGTTCTCAGTGTTCGTCTTAGCAACCAACTTAGCAACATGTCGGCCCGTTGCGGCAAACACATGTCCATATAAGGAAATTGGCTCCAGCTTTATGTTCAAATCGGCTTCTTCTACATTCTTTTGCTCAAACCCATGAGAAATATTTCTAAATAAGTACACTGTTTTAAGCACGGGCCTGTCTGACCAGGATTAATTATTCACATTAGTGACGACATACGTGAGGCGTTAACAAAGAATATGCAACTAACAAATGGGTATTTCTATGGAAACTGAGTGTCTCACTGCAGGTACGAGAGCACTGCATCGTTATCCGCTGAGACGCTTCTACTCCGCATTCCCCATCTCCTAAATGAGTTGCAACAGCGGCCTTGTCTTGGCGATTTATCCTCAACATTATTTGAGGTGTAGAGAGAATCAGAGATGGACGTGTGATCATTGAATGCAGCCTCTCCCTCCAAAGGATGATTGAGTAAAGCTGGGAGGCACGCTGGAGTCGCCCTAATGGTTGTTTTGATTATTCTTGGAAGAAGAGATAAATCTGACACGTAAAAGGTGCGGTGGCTATGTTTCCATCGTCCATCACGCAGAACGTTTAGATGCCCGCCAAGAGAAACGGATAAACGGCCTCCTCTAATTTAAATGAATTGTTCAAAAAGTCGTTTTAAGATGTCGCGAATATAGACTTGATGTGATTCAAACCCCTGCATTTAAGTGGCTGCAGTAATAGACTAATATTTGTCTTGTAATGAGAACGGATGCGGGCACTGCTTGTGTTTCATTGTTTTGATGAAGTGAAGGTAAATTTGGATCCAGAATATAATGCCTCAGAGAAAATTCATGATATTGCATCTCATTGGGAGCAGATATAGCCAACCCCTTTCAAAGAACATTGACATCAGGCATTAGCTGCGACACATAATTATTGGAATTAGGCTTGGAAGTTACATATTTAACCCTTTGCATCTCTGTATCATAACAAGGGATGGCACTGTTCAATTTTGTGCTGGTACATTTTCAATATCTGCTTTTCGATGTTGGTTCATTAACAGTTCTATTTTCGATTTAATATGAAGTAATATATTCAGGAAAAAGAGAGAAAATCTTGGACTTAACCATGCTATTATGTTTTTGTTAAAAGGCATCTTCTGCGTGCTTGTGTCTACTTTATTCCAATTAACTTCACCCCCTGTGGTTTAACCCTAGGCCGTATATTAGGAGTGGACTTACCAAGTGCTTATGTCACCTATAGTGCTAGCCTTAATGCGGAAGAGGCTGATTTGAGCATAAACTTTCTGGTGCCAATTACTTTACACCACATGTGTCAAAGTCAAGGCCCGTGGGCCAAATCCGGCCCGCGAATGAATTATCTATGGCCCCCGGGACATTGACCCCTTAAGCTCGCTAGCCCCCGCCGGCGGGAGCAAACGAGAAAAAAATACTTCTGCTGGCAATAGCAGATGTATTTTGAACTTCATAAGCCACAAGCTATATATCATTTTAAAGCTTATTTTCTCAGCTATATTTATATGTAAGTGTAAACTATATCAGACTTTGCATTAATAATAATTATAACGCATAATATGGGCACAAAATAAATCACGTCTGTATTTGTTTTTTACCTTTCGTCTTCTGCTGCTCCAACAAATTAGACTTTCCCCATTCTTGCTTAGTCGCTTTCTCTCCGTAACTGTCTATTGAAGAAGAATATCCACTTGTATTTCCCAAAGTATAATCAATTCTGCAGATTTAATCAAAAAACACCCCGAAAAGAGGTCCAGACTGCTCTTTTACATTTCACCAAGTTTGAGCTTTTTTTTTTTTTTTTACTATTTTCATGTCGTGTCATGTACATATTAGATGTCTATTACATCTAATATGTACAGTATGAGGATTGGCTTTAGAGCATATTTTATCGAGCCAACAGCTGTCACCGGCACTGCCTCTGGATGTTGAGAAACATTGAACCAGTCCGGCCCTCGGCGCGTAGCAAAAAATTTTTTTTGGCCCTCTGATGTATTTGACTTTGACATGCCTGCTTTACACACAACCATTTCTTCCGCGGCGTGACAGGGTGAGCTTTATCCATCTATATAAAGTCTATGCTGCAACAACAGGGGATGACACAGGACCCAGAGCAGAGATGAAGCCGAGCGTCCAAACCTCCGCCAGGTCCAAGAGCCAGACCTGAGCCTCAGCGGACCACCATTCCCCATACAAGAGGCTCTGTGGGTTTGCAGTATGAATCCATTGGACTTGAGTGGTTTTGTGAAAGTACTGTAGCTTTCTTTTGGATTTGGATGTCAACTGTTAAGCTTGTGGGACTCATAGTGCATCTTTATAGGCCACACCCCCCTCCGGCTGTCATGAAGAATGAACCACTTTACCTGTTAAACATCCCAGTACTTTAGACTCATCTCTGTGCTAACTACCCCCTGGTTTGTCATTATCATCCACATTTATCCTCTCATCTGTGAATGTGCTCATGTTTCCATCGCCCCACCCTGCCGGACCACACCGGGGGCACCTTGGTTCTCCCCGTGATGGCCGCCCGGAGCCTCATTGCGGTCTTTGTCCCCGTGTATATGTCCTGCGTCTCTCTGTCCTCTGGCTTCTGTCTATTCACGTCTATTATTACCCCGCTCCTCTGACCTCCCCCTCTCCCTCGTCTGCATCCTCTATTTCGGACAGCACCATCATTCTCCATACTATTAAAACGCAGTGGTATTTTTAGAAATTGCGACATAGGCGCGTTGCGATTTATTGCGTGTTTTTGGTTGTTTTTGTGTCACCAGCTTGTCTGTGCGTCCCATTTTTCCCCAGGTTTTTGACTCATCGCATGATCTTTGAACTTGTCGCTCTATATTTGTCCATTTGTGACATTGCTGCTTTCCCCCCGTCATTTACTTGTGTCCTCAGTCGCCATCTCGCCAACACTACAATAAAAGAACATGCATCTGTTTTTGTTTTTAATGCTTGTTCTTTCTGGCAAATAGGTAATGCTTGAACCTCAAAGTTCCGACTGGTGCTTGACTATTTGAGCTCTAGTGGCTTTGATGTTCGTTAGAAAAACACACCAGACTTTCCTTTGCTCAACTTGTGGTCTGTGAACTGTAGTGTTGTTATTTCTCTGTTCTTTTCTACAGAACAGGATTCTGCTGCAAGACTAGAACAAACAATTGTGTTACAATGTTGTTCAGTGTTTCTATGTAGCTCATGCATTACAAAATAAATTAAATTGAATCTTAGGGTTAGGGTTATTCAGTACAAACCACAGTAGCTCTAGCTTCTCTGCAGAAATGTCTAGAGTCCTGGGCCTTAATGAGTGGAGTAGATTCTCCATTAGATCAGTTATATCTGTACTAATCCAGAGGTCTTTTGGCGGCCTGAGGGTGAAATTACATAATGGATGTATCACAATGAAGTTTTTGCCTTTGCTTCTTTTTTAGTCAAGCCTGGGAGACAACAGACTGTGTATCCTGTACAAAATTATTGTTTATTCAAGTTTGTGTAAGGTCTGTAGACATCAGACTTCAATGTCATATAAGCCCATTGTGCATGAGACTTAAATAAACTCACACTAAAACTCTATATTTAGTGCTGTAGTCTGTCTGGGTAATTGCTTTTCATAAGGTTGGCCTTTGCATTTCAAACAATGAAATTAGTCAACATTGTATCTGTACTGAAATATTGGGATTTCACAACTACAACTTAATCACATATACATATACATATACACCTTGCGAAAGTATTCGGCCCCCTTGAACCTTTCAACATTTCGCCACATTTCAGGCTTCAAACATAAAGATATCAAAATTACATTTTTTGTCAATTATTATTCGGCCCCCTTGCGCTAATACTTTGTAGCGCCACCTTTTGCTGCAATTACAGCTGCAAGTCGCTTGGGGTATGTCTTTATCAGTTTTGCACATTGAGAGACTGCAATTCTTGCCCATTCTTCCTTGCAAAACAGCTCGAGCTCAGTGAGGTTGGATGGAGAGCGTTTGTGAACAGCAGTCTTCAGCTCTTTCCACAGATTCTCGATTGGATTCAGGTCTGGACTTTGACTTGGCCATTCTAACACCTGGATACGTCTATTTGTGAACCATTCCATTGAAGATTTGGCTTTATGTTTTGGATCATTGTCTTGTTGGAAGATAAATCTCCGTCCCAGTCTCAGGTCTTTTGCAGACTCCAACAGGTTTTCTTCCAGAATGGTCCTGTATTTGGCTCCATCCATCTTCCCATCAATTTTAGCCATCTTCCCTGTCCCTGCTGAAGAAAAGCAGGCCCAAACCATGATGCTGCCACCACCATGTTTGACAGTGGGGATGGTGTGTTCAGGGTGATGAGCTGTGTTGCTTTTACGCCAAACATATCGTTTTGCATTGTGGCCAAAAAGTTCGATTTTGTTTTCATCTGACCAGAGCACCTTCTTCCACATGTTTGGTGTGTCTCCCAGGTGGCTTGTGGCAAACTTTAAACGAGACTTTTTATGGATATCTTTGAGAAATGGTTTTCTTCTTGCCACTCTTCCATAAAGGCCAGATTTGTGCAGTGCACGACTGATTGTTGTCCTATGGACAGACTCTCCCACCTCAGCTGTAGTTATCTGCAGTTCATCCAGAGTGATCATGGGCCTCTTGGCTGCATCTCTGATCAGTCTTCTCCTTGTTTGAGATGAAAGTTTGGAGGGACGGCCGGGTCTTGGTAGATTTTCAGTGGTCTGATACTCCTTCCATTTCAATATAACTGCTTGCACAGTGCTCCTTGAGATGTTTAAAGCTTGGGAAATCTTTTTGTATCCAAATCCGGCTTTAAACTTCTCCACAACAGTATCTCGGACCTGCCCGGTGTGTTCCTTTGTCTTCATGGTTCTCTCTGCGCTTTAAACAGAACCCTGAAACTATCAAAGAGCAGGTGCATTTATACGGAGACTTGATTCACACAGGTGCATTCTATTTATCATCATCAGTCATTTAGGACAACATTGGATCATTCAAAGATCCTCACTGAACTTCTGGAGTGAGTTTGCTGCACTGAAAGTAAAGGGGCCGAATAATATTGCACGCCCCACTTTTCAGTTTTTTATTTGTTAAAAAAGTTTAAATTATCTAATAAATTTTGTTCCACTTCACGATTGTGTCCCACTTGTTGTTGATTCATGACAAAAAATAAAAATGTATATCTTTATGTTTGAAGCCTGAAATGTGGCAAAATGTTGAAAGATTCAAGGGGGCCGAATACTTTCGCAAGGCACTGTACATACTATTTTTATGTGAGCCAGTTTAATAAAGCTGCGCCGTTTTGAATATTTTTTCCAGCGCTATATCAATGATGAATTATATCTTTATTGGGACATTTCCATCTGATATTGTGATACCATTTTTGGCCATATGAAATCAGAAGTATCCATCCTTTCACCAACACAAACAGTTATGAGCAAAACTCTCTGTGCTTTGGATGTAGGGATGAGGTGCGGTTGAAAGAAAACAGGTCATCTTTCAGGTCTGTGATATGATGATGTACTTAAATAAGGATTGAAGTTAGTCTGAATATGATATCCACACATATCTACCACATACTTGTATTTTTGCAGTGTATGGCCTCTCTCCCGGGGCACGGCTCCTCTGACTCACTGTGCATGCCGTGTGCATCCAGGTCAGCATATGAGTGGTATTTTGTGAGGCTAACACTGCCAAATGTGTTTTTTTTTCCCCTTTCTTTTCTCCTCCGCTGCAGAGTCCAGTGAGCATGAGGACAAGAGCACAGATGCCTCTGGGGAGGTTGGCGTGGATGGCGGTCAGCTCCAAGCCTCCTCTGAGCCCACAGCAGAGGGAGAGGAGGAGCCCACATCCCCTGCAAAGTCCCCCGCCAAAGTGCCCGACCTCAACGAAGAAGAGTTGGGCCCGCTGCCGGACAACTGGGAGATGGCCTACACGGAGAAGGGGGAGGTGTACTTCATAGAGTAAGTCCCCACAAGGAAGGAAAGGTCATGTCCACCGGTCGTTTTACAATGTCCTGTTATGTCACGTTATTATGACAATTCAAACATGAGCCATACTTGTCATTTCCAGTTTGAGTGAGCAATGAGATTTGCTTGGAATCATATTTTTGTTCATCTAATGTGTTTTGAGGTTTTTTTTAAGCTGAAAATATTTATGGATCGATTGAATTATTGATTTCAAACCTGCACACATTTTTTTGAATGTGCATGGTTTGAAACGGTGATACAAGAAGCAGATGCTGATATTAATACAGTCCTCTCTCTACTAATCAACTCAAGACAAAACAATAGCAGCATTAGCAATAGTCCACCTTTCGTGCCCTTGCTTTTTTTTTGCAGCTGTCAAAAGAAATAGGTTTGATATCTCCTTACACTTCAGCAGGTGTGAGTTCGTTAGAAAAGTGCATAAAGTTTGTGGTTTCCAGCCTTAAACATAGTAGCTGCCGATTTTACTCATTGCAGGTTATTTTTGGAACCAGACTCTCGTGATAAACAAGGTATAACTGTATTAACTTTTAAGAAATATTTCACAGCTTTTATTAGGAAGACATCACTTTTTTCTGTACAAACAATACATTTTATATTTGCGCACTTGCAAGAACGAGCCCTGTGAGTCCCTATTCGAGGCTTTGGGCTGAGAGCTGATCTAAAGATGTGTCAGAAGCCAAGAAATACATGTATGAAAAAAACATAGCGAACCAAAACCAAACTCTTTTTAGAGCGAGAAACTAGTTACATCTTTTGTGGTTTGAAAGTAAGGTACCCCAGCTTTAGGCGCGAGCTCATAGACACTCTATAAGTGTTCCATGGCAGTAATAGTTGTTGTAGAGTACACACGGGCCTCCTGGTGTCACGTACCTGCATGTATAGTACATAGAGTTCACCCGTGGTCTGCCCTGCGCCGCTGCGGCTGGGACAAACACGGTGCACTTTGAACAGCGGCTATAGGTCAGGCACCGCGCTTGTATGTTTCATTTGTATTGTGCCATAGGGACCAGCTTTGACTTTTGTGTGATGGAAATGCAGCCAGTGATACAAACCGGTAAGCGGCAGATTGAAACGACCCTGTTTAAATCAGACTCTTATATTAGAATCAATTTGCAATAATAAAAGTGCCACATTTCCTAAACAGCTGATTGATGGCATTAACTTTAGACTGATTACGGGTTAAAACACTACCTCAAATACTTCACAAAACACTGAGAGATCTTCTAATTATCAGCCAAGACTACATAATTACCATTCACCATTTAGGCATGACCCTGTAATATATTTGTTACGCTCACTTAAGATACATTGGAGAAAGAACTGCTTGTCTTTGCCAACGACAACAGTTGTTCTGCTTTCATCAAATAACCGTAAGCATTTCGCATTAACACTGTTCAATATTTGTCTTTTCAGCTTCTAAAAACTCTGCAGCTACTAAAGACACACTTCATTTCGTTTTCAGAGTAAACACGTTGATATATCGGTACCTCTTTAAAAGCCTTGTGTCTCGCAGGCTTCATAAACTCCACGGCTCTGGCTCGCATGCTGAATAATTGATATAAGTTATTCTTCTAATCACACTAGCCAAGCACTTCCTCCCCTAAGCGTGCACACTCACCCTTTCGCCCTCACCCATCACTGGGGCAATTAGCGCTGCCGGCTAATTAGCGGATTAATGATCATTTAGTTTACCTTTGAAATTCCCTTGTTTCTGCCCCGCTCGGGTCATTGGCAATTTATCTGTCCCCGACCGTGACCGCTTGTTGACCTGAGCTTTCTTCTTTTTTCTCTCTCTATGCAGTCACAACACCAAAACGACTTCGTGGCTAGACCCTCGGCTGGCAAAGAAAGCAAAGCCCCCGGAAGAGTGCCGTGAGGACGGTGAGTGTCGGGTCATCGTGTGGTTCTGTGTGGTTCTGTTCTGTGATCCCAGTTTTCCTTGAGTCTGTGAGAGGACAGAGCTTCCGCCATCCTACGTCGAGCCGTGACTCATCGTTCCGGTCTTTTTTAATCTATTTTTTTCCACATTTGTTGTTTAGATGGAGGAGAAATAAATGTCAACGCTAATTATTGCGTCACATAATCCTGATGATAATAACAGTGATTTTCATGCTTTTGTTTCATCACATTGTGGCTGTGTGCGGTCACCATGGTCCCACAGTGAGCTCTTTTATCACAAGGATTTGGTTTAGTCCTGGTCCATTCCTTTTCAGGGCCTTCTTTGGCTAAATTGTCTACAGCCGCAAAGTAAAACACAGCTTATAAACTCGTAAGCTCTTTTTCAACATTTTTACTGTTCCCACCTTATGTCAGTTGAATAATACAAAACATTTTCAATACGTAGCCTAACATAAGGAAATTAAAAGTGTGCTCTCCTCACTTCTGGAGCAATCGATATTTAATAAAAACCTCACTGCATTAGACTAGCTGTTGGGGAAAATAAAAAGCCAAAATGGTCCTCATGCGACGCAAGCAGTGTGGAAGGGAGAGAGAGCTCTGGATAGACCTACTGTTCCACCTGGAGCACAGCCAGTAGGTTGTATACAAGGTCGCTCATGTTACTGTTTTGTATTCACAATAATTCTGTATAGTTTCCGTATGTTCATGTTTCTCACCTGTGTTACGCTTCAAGAGTGTGTGAATCTCAAGGTCAGAGAGTCTGAAAACAGTTAGACTTTACTAAACTGCTTAGTTTAGTAAAGTGCATTTCTCGAGTTGAAGAATGAAGTACTGCGTGTGTCATAGACTGTATATAAATGGACAATGCTAACCTGCTAGCTCAGTTTAGCTCGCTCTGGCTCCTATTGACTCCAGCTCAGTAACCAGTTTGGCCTTAGAAAATCTGTGGCTCTGTGATCCTGATGGTTATATTTTGATATTGTTTCATAAATCCAGATGCATTTAAGCTATATAAGGATGGACCAATCGGATGCCTTCTTTCACGGGGAAATTCCAGCTTACCTTTGCAACCGTCTTAGCAACACGTCTGCCCTTGTTACAAGCCAAGCATTATAGCAAATTGGCTATAGCTAGATTATGTTTAGGGCTTTACAAAAATAAATTGAATTGAATGCAATGTTTTATAAATCCGATTTATTAACGTTTGAAAACGGTGCATGTTGATAATTCTGTCTCTGGTAGAGTGTGAAACAGACATGTGTCCATAAAAAGCCATCACATAAAAAGCCATCACATCCTCGGGCAGGTCCTTGTTGACTGTTCCAAGGTCGAGGCTCCGGACGAAAGGTGACCGAGCCTTCTCTGTCCGGGCTCCTCGGCTTTGGAACGACCTGCCCGAGGAGATAAGGCTAGCACCATCAGTATCCTCTTTTAAATCACTTCTTAAAACCCACTTTTATCAAACAGCTTTTAACTGTTATTTTTAATCTACACATGCTGTATTTTAATGTCTGCTTTGTCTTTGTTGTGTCTCTCTTCTTGTGTTTTGCTCTGTCTGCTGTGTTTTCCTGTATCTAATTATTTTGACCTTGTATTATGGCTGTTTTATTGTTTATGATGCTGACTGTGCAGTGCTTTGTTAACATTGTTTTTAAAAGTGCTATACAAATAACGATTATTATTATATTATTATCACATGAGACAAGCATGTGGCTGAGAACAGTTACATAAATGGGACTTTCTCTCCCTCACCGAGCACAACTTTGCGGCTTGCTAGCGAACTTTGTTGACAGAAGTGCTGTTTTTCCTCGGTGCCTTCGATTGGGTACAGGTTGTTTCTCAGAGGTGTTCCAATCAGATGTGTACAGTCCCCCGCTGTTGTCCCAGCCTTCACTCACAGAATTAGTGATGTGATTCTCCGGCAGCACTTTAAATCAATACCTCCTCCTCCGCCTGCTCCCCCTCTGCTCCTCGCTCCCCTTCATCTACTTCTCAGCCCAGCAAAAGGCCCAAATGTGTCAGGAATCCTAATCACCCTGCTCCCCCTCTGTCTCTCCTGCACACACTCTACTGCTGGGGGGCGGGTGGAGGCGGGTGGGGGGGTCTGTGGAGCGGGTTTCATCCCAGGCAGCACTGCGTAGATTGGATTGCACAAGAACGCAGGAGGCCGTGTTGTTGAAACGGCAATTTGAGTCGCAAATAGCAAATTATGAAACTACGTATATACACTGCCTGCTATATACATACAGTAAGAACACTCTGGATAATGTCCCCCTTTATTCAATTTAATTTACTCTTGTATAGCCATAATTCACAACCGCAGTCGTCTCGTATGATTTCACCAAGTTTTTCCACAACAACAGTTCAGAGAATCAAACTGTTCAAAAATAGGAAATGCAATAAGAACGAACACATAGGAGACATTGGTCTATGGGGGGAAGATGACGAATGTCCATCAATGTTAAAGAATTTCCATGAATTACCTTCAATTTCTCACATCATCACTGTCCTGGAAAAAGTGATGATGGTCCTGGTCTCCTCGGGGAGGCCAGGCCAGTCAAGCTGTAGGCCCGGGGTTGAGGCAGTGTGGTATGGGACCGAAGAGGCAGCCCACGAGTTCAGAGGCTGTATTCTGGGGTCCCATAATCAAACCATGAAACAGACAATGCGGGAATAAGTTTATAGCATTGAATATGGAATTTGACTGTATCTGTGACGTTGCAGATGCTACGTTTTTAGGGAAGAATATTGAGCAGTTAACCTTTTCAGTGAATTAAAAAATAATAAGAATGTTGTTGTAAATGAAATGAAAATATGAAAAATTAAATGAAAATATTTAAGAAGGAGAAGCACAGACCAGCATTTCTGTTTGGGAGTCTGTGGACAGTTTTCTTATTTCAAAAATAACACATACAGTTAATTCCAACGAAGTCCTGTAAAAGTAAAATGTTGTGAACAAATCAGACCTCAGTCCTCTTGTTGCCTTTTGCATACTTTTTGTGTGCCTGCCTTGTGTTCGGAAGGCGCTCTCTTTTTCTGTCTGAAAAAGCTGATCAAAATGTGACTAAAATATATGCATGTTCAAACCACAGAATTTGTTCACATAGTTGTATTTTTAGTGGTTTGAAAGTTAGGTACTCCAACTTAAAACAATATTGTTTTAATAATAATAATAAAAATGATAATAATAATAATAATGCATTTGTTTTATATAGTACTCTTTTCACTCAAAGACACTTTATATGGTAATATTAATTCAGTCGTGATAAAATACTGCTTTTACCACAGCCGCCCTGAGGCACACTGACAGAAGCGAGGCAACCAGTCTGTGCCATCGGCCCCTCCGACCACCTCTAATCATTCATGCACATACCAGGATCATAGAAGCAAATGTGGGTGAAGTATCCTGCCCAAGGACAGAACTCTAACCCACTAGGTCAATATTGAGCTTTAAATATTGATACAAACTACATATAGCAGACAAAACACAAGAACTGGTTTCTGTTTAGTGAAATATATGCATTAGTTTATGATTCTTCTGACCATGCAAATCGAACCGCACACTGCTGTCCCTCTGCAGGCAGATAGATGACACATTTATAAATAGTAACGTGTGATGTCTTTACAGTCACCCTGCTTCTATTTCTGTCGGTTAAACCTCTGCTGTGACATCAGTGTGTTTACTCTTGCTCACCACACACTAAACCATGCTAATGTTACAACAGCCGTGATAATGGATCTGTCTTTTCCAGTCGGACAAATATACTTAACAGAGCTGTATGAGCCTGTGTGTACATGAAGGGAACGCCTCAGTTCTGTGACTGAATGTGACTGAATATTGGATTTGGGGCATGTCTTCTTGTCAGCCGTGTTGGTCCTTGTGTTATAACTTGTGTTGGGACTTGTGTTGCTGTAGATGTGAAGCTGTGTGTGAGTTGTGCGCTGGATGGGGCTACAGTTCGGTTCAAAGGCTTGTCACTGCGGTCCCGGCTTACTTGCGTTCGTTGTCGTTTCTTCCTGTTACATAACTTAAGCTCGTGTCTTGACGCTGCTGCGGCTTAGGAGCACGGAGCAAATTGAACAGTGGATTCATAAAGCGCAGGGGTAAATATGGAACTGGTTTGACAAGTAAAGTGTTCTGGAATGAACTCTGCTTGTGTGGAGGAGCGGGGTTGTGTTGAATGTATGAAAATCTCTTCTTTTTTTTTCATGCTGGTAAATAAGCACTAAAGTAATTGTGGGATATTATGAGGTCTAACCCTCAGCAGCGGCAGTAGCACGGGGCAGCAACAGCAACTAATAGAGAAAGAGTTGGGTGTTTGTTGATGCTTTGGGCAGAGAGCTGATTGGCTTAGTGAGGGTGGACCTCTCTTTTTAACTTTTCTGTCTGAAAAAGCTGATCTAAAACTGAGACAAAAAATACATGCATTTAAAAAAAAAAAGTAATAGAACCAAACTGTTTTAGATTCATAGAAAAATTCATAGATTTTTTTTTAGCTTGTGTTTTTACAATTTATTGTATTGTCTTGTTGATTTTCTCTCTTGGATGTTTTCAGGTTTTCAAAACGTATAAAAACTGAGCTTGTATTTCTGTAATGACTGACTCGTAATGGAGGAGCGCTGCCTGACTGTTTCCAATGAATTGGAAATCTTCCACTGCATAGAATAAGGGGGTGTTCAAGGAAGAACTAGAGGGAGCTTTAAATGATTACATTGTTAATATTAACTTGCAAACTTTGATAGGAGGTATATGTGTATATGGACATACCATGACACAGTAATAGTTGGTCTTACTTTGGGTTCAGTCCAAGTGCATACTCAGTGAGTTCTGAAAAACACAAAACTCAAGTTACGAGTAGCTCATCCTGTCGTCTCCCTCTGTGATCCAGCGAGCATTTAAATGATTCTTAAACCAATGATTAATTAAACAGTCCATTCATTCCTTACATGCACCAGAAGGCAGTGGGTAAAGAATTAACTTT